AAAACCGCTTGTTAACCTGGATGAGACGCAGCACATGCTTACACGCTCAGCACTCTAGGAGGCTGAGGCAGGAGGCTGCAAGTTCAAGCCCTGTCTGGAAAATGTATCAATTTAGTCAGACTCTGTCTCAAAAAAAAAAAAAAGCAAAAAAGCTTGGAACATAGCTCATAGTAAAGGCCTTGAGTTCAATTCAAGGACTACAAACAATCAAAAATAAACAAAAAACTGCTTTTTATATGAAATGACACTGTTTAAGCCTGAGCTATGTTTTCTGTTCTTGTTAAATCAAGCATCTTAAATGATATCTCCCTCAGTACCACATTTAGTATAGAGTACGTCTTCAATAAACATTATAACTATATTTGAGTCTTCGTTTCAACTATTAAATGGTTTAGGATTTCACAGATGTTGGAAAAAATGGTTTACAGAATCCTTCCTGGATTTGACACTGCTCTTTTTTATTTATGATTCTGGTTCTGGAGCAGGTCTTTTTTTTTTTTTTTTTTTTTTTTTTTATCTTTTTCCTTTTTATCGGTACTGGGGACTGAACTCACGACTGTCTGCTTGCAAGGCAGGCGCTTATGCTACTGAGCTAAATCGCCCTGGAGCAGGTCTTGACACTATGCTCAGTGAGCCAAATTGAGCCCCCTGCCTTTTTTGTAAATAAAGCTTTATTAGAACACAGCTACGCTTATCCATTCATAGCTGCTTTTGCACTAAAACACGGAAGGTGAGTAGTTGCAGTGGAAGTCTTATGACCTCAAGTCTAAAATATTTACTATCTGGCCCTTTGCAGAAGAAGTTGCCAACCTTGCTTGTTTGGGAGCCAGTGCTTCACCTCCTCAGGGAAGATGCGCGTGAGACCACTTCACAGTGCAGACCGCACTTTCACCAGGTAGATTTTGCTTCATTTGGTGAATTAGTTAGGTCTCTCTTATGGACAAATGGCTGATCCAGACCAGGTGGTAGTTTTAGGAATGGCTGGTTACAGCGCCTTGTACAGCTTAATAAAAATAGGATTTCACTCTCTCTACCTCATGATTCTTTTTTCTCTGTGTTGACTCCCATCTCATTGTTGGCCAGTGAGGGCTGCAATGTGTCTCAGCATGTCTGTCCTTCCCAGTCGTGTCCAGAATGAAGGAGACTTTTTTTTTGTTGAGACAGGGTTTTATTTATTTATTTATTCATTGTGGGTTTTTTGAGACACTGTAGTTTAGGGTGGCCTGAACTCACTGGGTAGCCCAGGCTGGTCTCAAACTCACAATGATCCTCCTGCCTCAGCCTCCTAAGTACTGGGGTTACAGGCATGTAGCATCATGCCTGGCACAAGGAGATAAAAATCTTTGTTTCAACATTTTCCATAAAACTGGAGCATCTCTGTGAGCGATAACATCAATCCTGAAAGTCACCGTAGGAAGCAGTGGATAATTCTCTTACCCTTTGTAGAGTACCTAAAAAAGGTTCAGAAAATGGACATTAATACTGTGTCCTTTTTGGCTGTCTTCCACTAGGTTACAATCTCCAGGGAACAGTGCTCAGTACCTATTATATTCTTAGTAATTATAATTTTGGATGATGAATGTAGAAGTCTATTTAATGATTCAGACTGCGATTATTCCTTATGCATATTTTTTTGCTTTTTAAAAATTGACATACTTATAAACATTTTTCTTTGTCACTAAAGAAATGAAATATGAAGATTGTACAGAAAGGATGCATGCCAAGTTCATGATGTTTTTTCCCTTTGGGGGTAGGGGAGGGAGGGTACTTTGCATGTTTTTTAAATATAAAAATATCTGGTGAAAAAAATAAAGTCTTTGGGAACACAATTTTCCATGGTTGCATAATAGTTTATCATATGACTATATCAATTATATTTGAACCAATCTCCTTTTGTACATTTAAATTGCTTTCAATTTGTTGTTCTTATAAATAGTATTAGGATGAATAACTGCATATGTCTTTCTGCACACCTCTGAATATTTCCTTAGGACAGTTTCCTAGGAATGGAATTATAAGGTATAATTTGTGTTTTGATATTTATTTGTAAATTCCTTCCCAGTAAGGTTAAAATAATTTCAGTAGGTAAGATTTTAAGTCCACAATAACAAGTTACAAAAAAGGAACTGAGCTATAAAAACGGCCACTGATGGTTTAATACCAAAAACAACTATTGAAAAATTCTATTCTAGTCCTCCAACCCCATCACGAGCTGGGGTCTCACGATGTTGCTCAGGTGTCAAACTCCTAGGTTCAAGTGTTTTTCCTTTGTGAGCCACTGAACAGCTGGGACCGAAGCATGAGCCATTATGCCTGGCAGCTTCTGTTTCCTGCATGTGTTTCTGTAACTAAAAGACGGTTCTTGTTGCATAAATACCTCCATGGTTATAGTATCAACTTACCCAGGAAATAGGTACATTTAATCATCTTTCTCTGTCATCATCATTTGGCAAATACCAAATGATGTTGCTTGCTTATGATCTTGAAATTCAGAGTCAGTTCTTAATAAACAGCAGGGAAACTTAGCTTGTGACTCAGCTCTTGACGTTTTCTTACATGTGGAGGGGTGTAAGTGAACGTGACACCCCTTAGAGCTTAGTTTCCTTGGAGTCCAGCTGCTCACCTGGTATTTACTTTCTCTTTTGTTCCTCCATACCCTCGGTCTAATTGGACAAGGGTATGGAGGAAACTCCCTGGCTGGAGGCACTGCCACCGTTCCAGCCTTGCTGAAGAGGAGGTCTGAAGCTTTGGTCGGACACTTTGGAGGTGCCATCTTAAGACCTTAATAACAAAGAGGCTGCATTTCAATAACAAAGAAGCTGTATTTCAATATGCACACTATGGGCAACAGATGCCTGTTTTTTAAAATGTCAGAAAATAGCATATCTTTCTTAAGCCAGAGAAGGTGAACCTGGTAGATGATCTCTAGTGAGTCTCCCATCCAGTGATCTATCATTAACCAAAATGACATGTCTCAAGTAATATATTAACAGACACATTCACTCTAAAATATAATTTGTTAATCAACCACATAGTCCATTGCATTAGGTAAAAGACTCATGTTAGATGCTTTCCTGTTCAGGCAGGGCAGACAGACTGGAAAGAAAATGCCTTCTTTGGAGATGAGAGATGAAACCGTGTGGTGGGAACCTGAAAAATGAGAGCCTTGGATCCTTGGCACAGGCAGAGCAGGGGAGAAGGAGGAAATGAGGCTGAAGAGACAGGCAGGGGCCTGGTAATGCCAGGAATGCCACCCAAAGCGGTTTGGACTGGATCATAAAGGCCATGAGCAGCCATTGAGGATTTTAAGCAATGGTTTGACATTGACCCTTGGGCTCAGGAGTCATGTTGATCTCATTCTGGCCCAAATTCTCTGCATTACCCATAAAGACAGCATCATACAAATATTTCCACATCTCCTCCCATCCCGCCCTTAGAGAATCATGTTGTAGCTACTACAGTTTGTATTTTGAAGATGATTGGAGATGACTTTTTTTGAGCCTGCTCATGTAGTCCAGTTGTCCGAAGTGGTTGCAGTGGAGCGATACCCGCTCCCTTCCCCCGGGGGCCGGGACTGCTACCTCATCCTGAAAAGATGTGTTGCTTCATGATATCAGCTTACGGCAAAACATGCACAGATAACTTTTCAAACATTTAATTGTAATACTTTCATGCTTAAATCACCAAATTGGCTTTGGAAAATATGCAATCTCTTCAAATTACATTCTTTTTAAACTCAGAATTCACAGTATAACTGGCCAGTTTGTATACTTAAGGAATTTGAAAATGGGTGCATAAAAAAATGGCCTGGAGTTACTTGACTTTCCATTTTGTTGAAAGGCAACATATTGTAAATGCAACAAAAAAAATGAGGCAGTTGTGTAATGTACCTTATCACCTGTTTTGTATATGATAAGGCATAGAGGGGACTTAGAGTTCGGATTCATTTCCCAGGGCTCCCCAGACTAATTACTCCAATGCTGTCTATATGGCATTTTCTTTCTTTCTTTCTTTCTTTCTTTCTTTCTTTCTTTCTTTCTTTCTTTCTTTCTTTCTTCTTCTCTCTCTCTCTCTCTCTCTCTCTCTCTCTCTCTCTCTCTCTCTTTCTTTCTTTGACAGGATCTTTCCACGTAGTTCAGTCTGGCCTTGAATGCACTATGTAGCCTATCTGGCCTTGAACTCACAGCAATCCTCTTGCCTCAGCTTCCTAAGTTCTGGGATTACAAGCATGTGCCACCATGTTCTGCCTTCTTTTTAAAAATTTATCACTCAGTTGGGTGTTGTGATGCGTGATTGCAATTTGACATTCTAGCAGGCTGAGGTGAGAGGATTTCAAGTTCAAATCATGCCCAGGGAATTTTGGGAGACCTTGTCTCAAAATTAAAATTAAGACCCATCCTAGTGGCCTCATCTTGATCCTATCTAAAAATTTCCTATTTCCAAATAAGGTTACCTTTAGGTACCCAATGGTTAGGTCTTGAACACATCTTTTGAGGAAGCAGCATAGCATGAGTCTACCTATAACAGAGGTCATTGTAGCCCACCTCTCTATTGGATTCGTGAATTTGTGGTACAAGATTTATCCAGTTTTAATACCTAAGTACAGAACATGATGGTTCACTTAAGCAAAACCAGGTAGGTCTAAGATGATACAGGCACAGCTCGATGCTGGACAGAGTGCGGAGACCACTGCTGGGGAATCTAGCGATGCACATTTATGGGGTCTGAGTGACTGGCCACCACCTCTAGATCACTGCTTCCTAGCAGATATAAAACGCAACTCACATTTGTTACTTTGATGTTTTAGTAGCTATGTTAAAAAAATGAAAATAGTAAAATTAACCCAAGTATTTTATTCAACCCAATATATCAAAAATATTGTATCAACATGTCATAAAAATAAAAATATTAATAAGCTATTTTGCTTTGTTTACTATGCTAAGTCTTCAAAATTCCTTTTTTTCTGGCATAACTGGGGATTGAATGAAGAGAGTGCTAAATTACATTCTCAGCTCTTTATTTTTTAAATTTCAAGACAGGATCTCAATAAATTGCTCAGATTGGCTTTGAACTTGATTTCCTCCTGCCATAGCCTCCTGAGTAGCTGGGATTACAGCTAGCTGTTACCATGCTGGGATTCGATGTGTTTTACACTCATAGCATTGCATCAACTGCACAGGATTTTCAGTTTACAATAGCCACGTGTATTAGATTGCTGGAGATTCTAGAAGTGCTGTCCATGAGCAATAGGATGCAGTTCCAGGGAGGAAGATTGGCAGGAGCAACACGGACATTCAAAGGGCAGGGGAGGCCTGAAGGAGAAAGAGGTTGTGAGTCAAGTATATATAGATATAAGAACGGAGCTCACCAGGGCTTCCTTCACGGGTTCCCTCAGAGCTGACTACCAGAGTGCACTGGGCCAGCGCAGGGCAGGGGACCATCAGTCACCCTGCGTGCCTGAGGGTGAGAAAACCTGTCCTCTCAGTTTTTCCTCCATATGCTTTGTCAATCTCTTTCCACAGACTTACGTCTTCTATTTACGTAATTGAAAGGCCTTATTATGACTTTAAAACAGCTTCCTCAGCTGCTAACTCTCTGGCCTCTCTACTTGGCTCCCCATGGCAAGCTCAGCACTGGGCATCCTCATCTTATGCTCCAAGGGGAGGAAGGCCGCGTCTTGCTTAGCTACCCACCTTCAGTTGGTCTGGTTCAAAAATGGGTCTTTGACTGGTCCCAGGCAAGGCAATGGTTCTCAAAATGAGCTCTGCACCAGCAGCACTAGAGATAGAATGCAGATTCATGGGCCCCATCCCATCTAAAGGAATCAGAACATCCAGGGATAGAATCCAGGACATTGTCAGAGCATGGGCCAGGACAGCTTTCCTCAGAGAGGATGTGTGTAGGGCGAGAGGCGAGTGGCATCGCGGGGGGCAGGTGTGGACAGACACAGGAAGGAGATGCGATCTCGGCTTTGATCCCTGGAAACCAGGTGTGCTAGGAGGTAGGGTGGGTGGTGAGGAGGGTATGAAGTTAGAAAAGTGGCACAAAGAACAGCTCGGAATGTGACTTAACCCTAAACCCTGCCAGAACAAGGCTGCTCTGATGAGTTTCTGAATCTGCCTATCCCAGCTCCTAAAACTCTCAGGAGCTGGCACAGGCAAAAGCAGGGAAGAAAATGAGTGGGTTCAGGAGGAAGAGAGTGAGGTTGACAGCAGTCACTCCTCAGTGGCTTCTTTATCAGTTATGAGCTCATTTGGAGGAAACCAGACCTAACGTTATTTAAATGATGACATTTTAAAAGATGAAGAAACATAAGCGTTTTAAGCAGTGGTATAAACTGGTGAGTGCCTTATTTTTCCACGGTATACATACAGTATTAAATTATAAATTTGTACTACAAAAGTAGCTTCGCAGGAGTGCCATTATTAACATACCCTTAACTCAGACAGATTTTTTATTAATGGACACAATTACTTTCTATGTAAAAAAAATTAATGTCTGGAGCAGAAGAAGTACTAACTACAGATGGTAGGCATTTTCTTGCAAAGTCATATCAAATTTAACATTAGCCTGGAAAACAGAAATATGTTTTAAACAAAAGATTTTAAACATTCTCAAAACCATGTGTAGATTTTCACCTATGGTCTAGGATAGCATCATAAAGAATGCCACTTCAAGTAATTATTAAAGTATATTAATGAAAAAATAAAAATTTTGCTCAAAATACTATTTAATGTGTTACTGTTAACACTGGAAGGTCCTATTACATGACATTTATAGGAAAAGAATGATTTTATTGGTATGAAATAAGTGGTAAATAAGAAGTTTAAGAAAATGATTCGGTAAAAGGCGTACCATTCAACTGAGGACAAATTAGGAGTCATAAGGGAATAAAAAGACTTTCTGCAGTTCTCATAACCATGTGTAACCAAGGTACACACAGACAAATTTACTTTGAGTGGATTTCTATTTTAGGAAGAAAGCAGAGAATGAACTCCCTAAGAACTGTCATTTGTCTTTTTTTCTCAAAAATATATTTCAGAGGGAGGCCATGATACAGAAATGTTGTAAATCCAATGCTGAACATTAATGAAAATCCAGCTTTCCTCAACAGTATAATTCTGAAGAGGATAGCAGGCTCAAAATGGCATCCTGATGAACAGCAGCTTGGGAACTTTCTAGAAGCTAGGAACTTGCAGCCCCTGTGTCATGAGACACAGTGAGTTGCATTTAACAGGCTCTCCAGGTGATTTTGATGCATACTGAAGTTCCAGAGCCACTGGGATAGTAGTTGCCAACTTGGTGTAGGCCAGAGTCCCCTCTGAGGCTTTTATAAATACTCCTCAGCCCGACTGCAGGAAATTCTGATTCAATAGGCCTGGGAAGCAGTTAGAAACTGTATTGTCAATGCAAGATGATCTTGGGAGCCATTGATTAAAAAACACCAATAATTAAATTCAGTCTAAGTTAATAAGTCCTTCTCTCTCTTTTTCTTGTCTTTCCTTCTCTTCTACTATGTTGACCTCTAATTATTATTATATTTCATCTCAATATCTTTAAAGTATAGTATATGGAATGTATATGGAATGAGCTAAAAAAGTTGGATGAATCAACAACAAATCTTATAGTAATATTTTGCTGCGAAGAGAAAGGCCATTATTTTCAACTTCAGTGCTATTTTCCTTTTTTGGAAGATTTTTATACTTGCATGCATATACCTGATTTATATGATTCTTGAGCCAGGCCTACTAGTGGCAGCCTATAATCTCAGCGCTCAGGAAGCTGAGGCAGGAAGATCATTGTGAGTTCAAGGCCTGTCTGAACCAGCCTGTCTCAAAAAGCTAACCGCCCCCCAAAACAACAGCAAAACCTCCACAAACTTTTAGTTTTGTAATTTTTAAAAATTCAGATTGATTTAATATTTAATAAAAATAAAATTACAATATTAAATAAAGTACATATTAAATAATGCTTGAGGGTAAGAGAAGCAATAATAAAACAAAAATCTTTGTACCCAGATTTTAAAAAAATTATTACCAATACAGTGAGCGGTTTTAAAGCACAGCATTATTCTTATCTGAATCTTTGTTTTAAACAATAGGATTTCCACTTACACAGAGGCAAGCCTAAACAGAGTCCTCCTCTGCACATTATTATGCCCGTATCCGTTTTCCTGCACCATCACTTCATATTTCAATGCAGTGTTTTCAACTGCACAACAGGCAGTGCTCTTCCGCAAGTTGCCATCACCACCTGAAACTCTAACTCCTATTACTTAATTGAAGCTACAATTATGCCAGTGGGTGGCTGGGAACAATGTGTGCGCGGTAGAATAAGGCAAGTGGGTACGTCTACATCAGTTTGCTAAGCTTATTGTCATTATTCTGCCTCTTAGCAGCTACTGTGCAAATTGTTTAGTGCATCTTCAGGTCTACTGTAATGGAAGCGTTTCTAAAGCACCCCGTTCGGGCTTTGCACACAGCAGGCAGTCAGTGTATGTTGAGTGAATTTCTAGCACGCTTCCTTCAATTTTTGTCTGACTTCTAGGATTTACATACTTTAAGAATCTCTTTAATTTTAGTATATGTGCTGCCTAAGCGAGCACGGGAATCATTTTAATTGTAGGGCTTTATTGAGACTGCCGAAATGTTCTTTTAGGTAACTTCATCGAGAGAAGGAAGAGATTTTACCGATAAATTAAAAGCAATGACCTATAGTGCGTAAGGTCAAAACACTTTAGACTTTACTAAACATTTATAATTGCATTAATGTCACAGTGGCCATAAACAAAATTCATAAAGTGCACGTTTGCTGTATACACACAACTCTTATCGTACTTTTAAATTCTGCATTATCTATAAACCTCCATAAATGGTAGCCACAATTGCCATTTAAATGGCTGCACAAAAATCTATGCAATTAAAAAAGTGCACGCACATGTGTGCATGTGTGTTGGAAACACCTGCAATCCCAGCACTTAGGAAGCTGAAGCAGAAGGATGTCTGAGAATCTGAGGCCAAACTGGGCTATATTGTCACCGAACTACATAGCGAGACCTTATCTCAAAAAAATAGAACAAAACACCATGCGGTTGGTATGAATAACTCATTATAATTAATCAATAGCTTGTTCCCGTCTTTGATATTAACTTAACTTTGCAAAGCACATATTCTGTATTATTGACAGAACACAACCCTAGCAGGGCAATTACAGGGTCGAAAAGTAAGTTACAACTTATTTTTATGTTATCTTTTCCTTCTGACATAATGAAGTAAAGTACGTTATGAAAACCTTTCCACACGGTGCTCTCCAAGGTTTTATTAACAATTATATGGTATTAGTATCATCTCTCTACCCTTGCTCTACAGCTGGAAAAAGAGCCCGAGCAGGCAGGTAACCTGATCTCATCCACCAGGTGAGTCCTGGAAGGAAGAGACAAGGAGCTAACAGCTTTAAGGATTTGCTGGAACTCTCGGTGTGGGACCAGCGTCCCTTCCCTCCCCAAGACGCTAAATTCGAGGAGGGCAGCGGACTCACGTTAGCGCCTCCACGCGCCTCCTAGCGCTCGCTCTCGCCTCTTGGAGCGCCCCGCACAAAGTACGCGTCTAACAAAGGCAATCGGCCCAGCACGGACACTGCCTCTCCCGGAGGCGGCCGGACACTACGCCCTCCTGTGCCAGTCGAGCCTCCTCGTCGCCGCCTGCCCCCTCCCCAAGCTCTGCTCGCCGCCCTGGGCAGCAGTCCGCGGAGTCCCCGCGCACCGCGCAGGCCTCCCTCCGGCTCCCCTCCGGCCTCCCTCCCGCGCCTCGCGCACCCGGCGCGCGCCCGCCGGCCCCGCCCCCGTCCCCTCCCCTCCCGTCTCCTCCCTCCTCCCCCCGGAGCCGACGAGTGGCGGCTGCGGCCCCAGGACCCGGTTCCCTCAGAGAAGAGGGCGGGTGGAGGAGGAAGCGGCCGAGCCCTGAGTCCTGCTCCGGCGCGAGCACCGCCCGCCTCAGCCGACCGGCGCCGTCGGCTCCGGGGGCCTCGCCGAGCCGAGAGGAGGAGAAGGCCGCGGCGGCCGCGAGGAGGAGGCGGCGAGGCGCGGGCGGAGGCGGCGCGGCCGGCCGCGGCTGCCGCTTTGTTGTGCGGCTGGGGCTGAGGAAGGAGAAGAGGGAGGAGGGGGGAGCTCGGCGTCCCGCTCCCTCCGCGGCTCATGGCGACGACGCTCGGCACATCCGGGACCCTCCGGCCGTGGCGGCCGCGACGCCGGCTGCTCGGGCCGCAGCCCCGGCCACTGTGGTGACTCCGCCGCGCCTCGCCGTCGCCGCCGCCCCGCCCGCCGGCTCGGAGCCCCGCCGCTGCCGCCGCCGCCGCCGCCTCCCGCCGCCGGGGACATGTCTAACCCCGGAGGCCGGCGGAACGGGCCCGTCAAGCTGCGCCTGACAGGTGAGGGGTCGCCGGGGGAGGGCGGCCGGCGGTGGGTGCCGGTGGCCTTGGGAGGGGCCAGGGTCGCGATCAATGGTGCGGTGCGGGGCGGGCGTGGGAAGGCCTAGTTTTGGGAGAGTCGCTGGGAAACCGGTCGGCGGGTTTGGAAATTCTTAAAAAAGCCAGTGGTGGCGGGGGTGGGGTGGGGGTGGGGGAGTGGAAGGCTGCACCCGCCTGAGTCGCCGGCGGACTTGAGGTCGCCAGGTCTCGGCCGGCCAGGGAGTCCGACGCTTTTTCCAGAGGCCACGGGGTGCCCAGGTGGGGTCGTGAAGGGGATTATTGAATCCGGTTTCTGACTGCGCGCAGTAAACACTCATTAAAGATGGAGTGCTTAACGGGAGGCTGTGTGTGTATGTGTGTGTGCTTTCCCAGGTTGTTAACTTGGACTCCCAGTTATGCTCGCGTGCAAAACCTTCACTCTGTGTTGCCAGCCACTGTGGTCGGTGCCATACACCTTAGGCACCCGTCTAAGGAGGAAAGGAAGGAGACTGAGGTTGACTTTTCCGGTGTGTCTGCCTGATCTCACGACTCGGGCTCGTGGTACACTCTGTGTTTTGGAAGTGTTTGATTGCAGGGTAGCATGTTTTGGGTTCCTCGTAGGCAGCAGGACTTGTGGCTCAAGTCTCTAAACTAGCTGTAGCGCTCCACCCACCCTCCCCCGTCTGCCTCTGGATACATTTCTAGGTCTGTGTTCATACAAACTTTCTAGCAAAGTTTCATTCTCTCTTCTCACCTCTCCCCTTTTCTAAAAGGAAAAGAATGTCCAAAGGGATTTACTAGATAGACAGGACTCTTACAAAGTGTTTGATTCCAGGTGCATGAAATCTTCAATGCCACAGGTACGTTTTGCCTGCCATTTTTGGTAATTTATAGGCATGTCCCTGCGATTTTAAAAAATACTTGCTTTGAAAAGTGTAATTGAAATCAGTGCGGTTATACTAGTTTCATCATTTACCATTAAGAAATTGGCCATTCGGGTGTGTGGTAAGATGTTTTTCCTTAGAAGATTTGTGTGTGTGTGTGTGTGTGTGTGTGTGTATGTATGTATGCAAGAGTGTAAGAATAAATGGTAATTATGTTTGCCCACACTAGACTGAGATTTATATGGACTAATTTTGTAGTTGAATACTTGTGTGTCACATCCGAGGCTACTAGCAGAATGTTCTACATAAAAACTTTCAATGAATTTAGTATTTGAGAATTTAGTGTGAATGCGTGTTGGCTGCAATAAAAAAAAATTACTTTTAAGACAGTTTTACACTCCTTGGGGAAAATTGCAAATAATCATTAACTATGTTGTTCTTAATGGAAAATCTGGATTGAGGATGCTTGTTTTATCTCTTTCATTTTCCTTATTTTGAGCAAATTAGTGAAAACCATTTTAAGGGGTCTTTGTTGCTTTCGTTTATCTATTGCTGTTCTTATCTAGAATCAGTTTTGTATCAGTAGTCACAGAAAGAACTTGTGATCTTCGGTGTGCAGAAACCATCAGAAAAAGGCGGTTGCCATTTATTTCCTTCTAGATTACATACGGAAAAGATGAAGGGGGAAACAGGGATTTTAATTTTCTGCAGATAAAATGAATTTTGAGGTTTTTAGTGTGATTCAGTAGATCTTAAAGTATTTATCTGTGGTTTCTATACTACATATGATTCATTATTAAGATTAATGAGTGAAGTTTGTTGAGAGGAAAGAGTATACTTGTTGGGGGAGGGAACACAGGAATAACAATATAATTTTGTATATTTAGATTTGCCTGGAGAATTTTAAATACCCTGTGTTCCCCTTAATTGTAAAAACAGTTTGAAGTATTCTCGATTTCTAAAATCCATTGGGAATTTTGCCTCTGAATAGTTTTAAAGTTTGGCAGATACTAAAAACATTGCCCTCCCTTTTGAGTTACATATGGGTGGAATCTTCACTGTTTTGCCAGGAAAGTTAACTTGTATTTTTTCATTTTTGTTCATCATTTACAAATTAGATGGTATAGATTTTAACAAATAGATCTCAAGAACTGGATTCAATTAGCAGCTTTTTAGGACATAAACATTAAAGGGTAAGATGGAAAAGATTGTTTTGACTGACTGGATAAATGACAGGGCTGTGTTTGATGTGAGTCCAGGAATTGGTCTGGAGCTGGTGCCCAACTTCTCAGTCCATCTCGAGAAGCCAAATAAAATATTTAACCTAGGCCTCATTTTGTTTTTTAAAAAAAGTCGATTCTTTGTTAAGACCTTAAGAAATGTTTGGCATACCTTAGACTAAGTGTTTAACAAGTTCATTTAAATCTGGGTTATCTAATAGAGGAAAAATCACTTTAAAAAAAGGCAGATACTACAGTGAATTTTATTTAGTTTACAATACACTTGAGCTTTACGATGTTTTAAAATTATTGTTCTTTGCTTAAATGCCATACTAGTATTTTAAATTTATAGTGTGATTTTGATTCTAAGGGGCTGTGTAAACTGCAGTTACTCAATTATATCCTTAATGTAAGATTGTCCATTTGCTCAAAGGTGTTAATTCTTGCATGGTGATATACACAGGAACTGAAAGATAGGAAGTTTTGAGCCCACAATAGAATTAGTTTTCCATATATTGTATCGAAACCCACAATCAATTAATGAACTATGTTATTTGTTAATGCTAAGAAGATAGGGCTAACTTAATAGCAAATTTGAGATTGTTTAGGCCATTCATGTTTAAAATCTGATTATTCCACCAGGCTATTATTTCTTGTTCTTTATGACACATTAACACTTGATCATTAAAATGGGCTATATGGTATTGTTATCTTCAACTAGTATTTTTAGAGCAAATTGGGTTATGCAGTGTGTGATTTGTATGGTATTTTTTATATGTTATTGACTTAATGCAGTAAGAAATGGTTTAAATAGAAAATACTCTTCATATTTGATTACATAAAAATAGGATAACTAGCTGGCTGTGATGGTGCTGTGCATACCTGTAATCCTGGCCTTTAGGGAGGCAGAGGCTAGCCAGACCCTGTTTCAAAAAACCAACCAACCAAGCAACAACATCAACAAATATGGGGTAATTTTTAATACTGTTGTTGTTTTTGAAAACCAAGGCTAGAAAAACCAGTTTAGCGTAATTTCCAATATATAAAATTCTTAGATACAGAGAATTAATAGCTTTCTTCACTAGAACACTTATTTCAGACCTTTTTGTAAATTCAGTGTTTTTGTTTGCTTCTCCTCATGTTATTTAATTTATAAAATCCTTGGCAGTAAAGGGGTCAGCTTGATATATAATTTAAGGAAAATTTTCCTTTTTTTTTAATTGGTACCAGGGATCGAACTCAGGACTGCCTGCTTGCAAGGCAGGCGCTTATGCCGCTGAGCTAAATCTCCAGCCCCCTAATTTAAGGAAAATTAATTTCAAAATCTCACCTTAAATATGCTGATAATCTTAATGTAGATTCATTGTATATTTTGTTGATACAAGGCTTTAAAAATTATAACTTGGTTGCATCTTGTAGTTCATGTATGATTCATTTATTATAATTACATTATTGTATAATCATAATAAAGTATATATGTACCTATATACCATAATGACTTCTTGTAGGGGTGTAAGTAATTGATTTGAACCTTCCCGAGTTCATTTTCTTTAATTCTGAAGAGAAGTCAGTATGGCTTAGTTTCTTTCTTTTCTCTCACATTCTTTCACTAGTCTAACCCTCTTCAGACAGGCAGTATAACATGCCTAAGTATAGCACAGTTTTCTTGGTAAGTAAGTGTGTATATTTCCCTGTGTGAATGTATATTTTAATCATAGCTTCTCATTTTTTCCTGTTGGTTGAGCGCTGTTGTAACATACTAGTATCTTATTTAGGATATACTTTAGTGTATTTAGTATGTAGGTAAATTTTCAAGGTAAAATGAAGGATTGTACTTAAGGCATGTAAGATTTTTATTTTAGCCTTTTTTTTTCTTTTTAAAGAGCAGAAAATATTTATTGGAGGAAAGAAAAAGTTCTAAGACAGAAGGATCCCAGTGAGTTGCCTTATTTTAGCCACTTTTGATGTGATTCTTCTAAAGATGTGATATGTCCTACTCTTTAATTTTTATTGTTTTATTTTTTGAGACAGGGTCTCCTTATGTAGATTAGGTTGGTCTTGATTTAACTATATAGTTTAGGCTGAGGTCAAGGTGATCCTCTTGCCTCAGCCTCCCCAGTGCTGGGATTACAGGCTTGTGCCACCACACCTGGCCTTTGACCTACCTTGAAGTAGAACATACTTAACAGAATGTAATGTTTTATGTATGATTCTATGATTATATTATTTCAATACTTGGTGTAAGGCTATCATTATGGTTTGTAGAAAAAATTAACAGACATTGCTAACTGATGTTTTGTTGGTTAACTTTGTTCTAATTTTTTTCTCTCTTGCTCTAATTTTTGTTTACTGTTATGTTTATATTTAAGAATGCTAGGCCCTATAATTAGCATTGTAGCATACTTTTTTGTTTTGGGGGGACTGTATCAGGTCTTTTCATCTTTTTATTTTGAGACAGAGTCTCCTGTCTCAGCCTTTGGAGTATCGGTGGAGGGCCACCATGTCCACCGTTATGTTTCTTTACAGCCAACATGCATTAAGGGCCAGACATTGTCAAGTTCACAGCACTTTTAGTTCTCACAGTAGCTGTATGAAACAGGAGGTTAAGTACATGTCAGAATCTAAGTTGTCTGTTTTGAAAACTTGTTACAAAATGAATTAGAAGTTGTGTGAAGACATATATTACATTCCTTTGAAATCACCCTCACCCCTTGCTATCCTTGCTCACTTTAACTCAAGGATTACTCTTACTCTTTTTTCTAAAAAAAAGTCTGAATTGATCGCTCCTTTGTGAGTTCGTTTTTTTGAAACAGGGTCTTGCTATGTAGCTCTTCTGGTAATCCCTAGCCTCCCTAGTGCTGGGATTATAGATATACAC